CAGTGTGTCTAACTGGTATCAGATACAAAGAACAAACAGTGTGATTATCATCCAGAGAGAACAGAGATTAGACGCGTCTGAAGCCGAGGATTTCATGCCCTCTTGGAGCTGATGTTATTCTCCTCTCATCTGTGCTTTTACCTCTCCTCTCCTCCCTTTTCCATTTATTCTTACGCGCTCTTCTCTCCTGTACACTCTCCACCCTGCACTCAGCCACCGTGTGGAGCCTCCTCCTGCTCTTTTTTGTTGTAGCCCGGCTGTTCTGTGATTACAGGCTAGTGGTTCAAGATGTAAACATGATGTGGATGGAAGCAGCACTCTGCCTGGGATTGAACACGATGACTTCCATTAGAATGATGTGTGCTACAGACACTTTTTTTTTATAAAACACTAAAACAGCATCAACACAAAAGCACCTCTCGCTGTTTTTTGTTGCGGTTGTTCTTGCTCTGAGATCTTTGGATGTCGCTGCCCGCAACCACAGGAGAATACAAAAATACTCCGAACATTTGCACATGTGCCTGCATCTTCTCTTTTGGGCTGAAGTCCTTGTATTCTTGAGGGGTTTTGGAAATGATGTGATATACCACACAAGTGTGATTGCTGTTGTACTGATTATCAGCACTGATGTGGCCTCATGCAGAAGGTTAGCACAATTTCAAGTGTGATATTGCTTTTATTTAACACTACACCAAGGTGCACATACTTTAAAGTGATGGAGCCAACAGAGTGAAACGTGGAGTCAGTAAAGCATTGTTGGTCGCAGCTTGTAAAGACAACATTTAAACTGGGTCATTCCTCCTGGGCTCATCTCCCCCCAGAAGCAGACACTCACTGCAGGGTGTAGTATGTTACATTTACTGCTTGTACCTACAACTCAAGCTAACCGCACGCTGCTAGCCCGGTGTTCTCAGAACCTGTGTAAAAGCCAACACAAGGTTCACCCTCGTTTTGGAACAAGCTTTATATGCTACGTCCACATCTGTCACATTCTGCGCTTTGAATTGCGTCCAATCGCTTAATTTGTATCCACTCCTAAACTCACCTGCGTCCTGTCATTTGGCTGAAGGGAACACACCAGCTCCCCGCCCAAAAACATCCCGTGTCAATCAAAACAAAACATCAAAACAGGTTCTCTGCAGACACAGTAACCACCCCACATATATGGACGCCCATAAAGCTACTGACTCCACCTTTCCCTATCATTTTTCAATATTTGATCATGCTCCAACAAAACAACTTGCACCACAACTTCCCCAGAACTGGACTCAACGATTTCTTTCACCCCTGACTCTGTCTGCAGATCTACACATTACCTCAGAACAAGCTACGTTGTGATATATCAATTTATCTGTTTCCACTTACAATTCATCTGTTGAAATAAGAGTCAGGACCCGGAGCTGTTTGCTTCATATCATTTTGAGATGACCTGAGGCAGATTGATTAAAAAAAGAGCAAGTCCAAGTGCTGTTATACTCTATAGTATGAGTTGTAACATTGTGTTTTTAGCACGCTTGTCCAATCACTTTACTGGGTCTGAACAAACTGCTGTAAAATATTATTAGATTTGCAGGTTTTCCTCAAGTCATACAACATAAGTTTTGAAAGGAGGAAAAAAATGTTCCACAACCTAAAACAAAAACCATAACTGTCAATTCTCAACTTCTCACTGCACAATGATGTTGTGTGAATCCGCTATATTGCAGTGATGTATAAGAGTCACACCGGGAGAATATTCATTCATCGTAAAAGAGGCAGACTCCACTGACAGTTACATTACAGGACCCAAGTGCATTGTGGTCCAAAACTATGCTGATTAAAGGATGCTATATACTCTCCCTTCTCCTCCTCTGGAAATACTCAAAATTACTCATGTTTTCTCGCTGGTGTTGTTGGGAGTCTGTGTAATGTAGGAAATGCAGGTAAACAAGGGAGGTTGGGAAGAAGTGAAGGAACCAAAACCAGCATGAAGTGACCACAGAATAGCCTCACAGATTGATGACATGTGAGAGTAACAGTATCTAAGGGTGGGATTTCCTCTCAAAGCCAGAGCGCTTAAATCTTGTCCTTGGACCCGAATGAGAATTGTTGCTTCTTTTTTTTTTTTTTTTTTGGATCTGAGATACATAAAAACTTTACTGCCTCTCACATCATGTGGTGACCGCAGAATTAGAAACTTGGCTTCACATTGATGTGAAGTACTCTTTATAACTCATCCCAATGCAGCTACAGTGATGTTTTCAGGAACTTGCCTCCATTTGGTATTTGCTGTTTTCCTTGATTTTCTTGTTTCTCCCTGGCCCTGTAACACTTCAAATGAATACCATAAGTTGTATAATTGGTGTGAGCCTGGTAGCTTCTTGCCAGGGGAAACGCCGGACTTGGATCTGACTGTGTGTTTTGGATCAGAAAGAGAGAGGAACAGAGTCGGCTCCATCACCGCACACCAGATCTCGGAGCCCCATAAGCCCTTCACTTACAGACCAACCACGAAGACTCCAACTCTCAACCATCCCCCACATGTCTGCAGAAGAGGGAGGGGGAGGGAAGCGTGGAAATCAGCTGAGGGATCTCTCACAGTTACATTTATATAACACCAACTGATCCTGAGATTTAAATCTCCTGTATGCTGGGAACACAAGGGATGTTATTAGATATTATTTTAGAGGCACAGTAGCATTTTAAAAGACAGAAATGACACAAGACAAACAGGTTTTTCCTTTTGCTTCCATTTCATTCCTTTTATATCCAATCTGCCGGCCATTTAATAAGGCCTCTGAGTGAGGCTTCAGAGAGGGCTTGTTGAACTTTCAGAAGGCACTGCTGTGTCTTTTCAGCCAGTGAGTCATCTAAATAGGGGTGAAGATCAAGAGGAAGAGGGAAGCCCAAACTGTGCCTAGAATACCTCAACCACTGATGGTAATAACAATCAGAGGGCCAAAGGCAATAACCAGGATTGAAGGCGAACACATGGCTACCATCAGACGATACAAAACCTCTGAAAGTCTTAAAAGATTTGGACTTTTGCCTGCTTTCCTGCAAGCGTGACTAATAGGATCATTGCTGCCAAAATATTTAATTTACTAAAGGATCATTTTGCTGTATAACCTGTGTCTTATTTTTATACCTAATGGCCATTTCTTCTCGCCGTAATGATAACACGGCTCTCTCCAAGCAATTCATGAGATCGGGGAATGTTGCAACACTGCTGTAACAAAAGCCAGCAGGAAACATAGTTAAGACAATCAGACAGGTTTCTATAGAAGACAAATGTTTAGCAATGTTACATAAATCTGTTTATTTAGAGGTAAATTATGTTTTTGAGCAAAGTTACAAAAACTTGGAGAATCATGTCAAGGCTGTCTGACTGGTTGAGTACTTGTGTAGGTCGCCTGCCAGATGACATTTTCATGTAATCAGCATGTGTAAGAAAATTAAATGTGATTATTACTGAATGGTATCAGTTTTCAAATTGATTCTAATCATGGTTTACTTCTGGCATATTATTTTACTGAGAAATGCACATCAGAATGCTCTGATTCATACAAACATTGTTTATATTAATGTAATTATATATAAGGACGGTACACATTAATTAAAAAATAAAGCAATTTTAAAAAGACCGCACACCTCACAAAACTGTCAACAAGAAGTGTAAATAAACACAAAGTCTAAAACTCAGATTGTTTGTAAATGATGATGTGTTCTTTATACTTTAGATATTTTTTGGTTTAAACAGCAAATATAGTGTAGAATATGTATTGATATACATTGAATTACTGTACAGCCCAGTATCATGATATAGATTGTTTTGGCATATTATTGCTTTTCCTGCTATGACAAGTCACACTTTCTAGTCTGAAGAAGGCTTGTTAGCTTTTAGATTATATTAAATCAAATGTTTTAACACCAATTAAAAATAAATAAATATAAGAAAAAGTCAGAGTTATGAATTATGTGAATTATTTTAAACCTCTTTTATTTCCCTTTCGTGTAGTTATTTTGTAGACTGTGAGCAGAGAGAACTCCCATGATTCCCCGCTAGCCTCGACGTCATCTTTTGTTATTGTAGTACAGATTGAGCGCCCCCTGGTGGCAGAATCTACATATTGTATCTTTTATTACACTGGTAATACAGTAGTTCCTGTTTACTGTATTATCTGGTTTATTTAACATTAGCTTGTTAGCTTGGCACATGGGCTAGACGTCTTGCTATTAAACCTACATACAGGAATCCCCTTTTCAGAACCCCACATCTTCACTTTCAATAACGGCTGCTGGAAAACTAAGTTGAGTTGTTTTGAGCGCTTTTTGATCGTGAATTAAAGGTAAAGTAGGGTTGTACTTTCTCAAGGAGAAAACATAAGGAGTATTTCATCACAGTATCTTACTAAACCCTGTTATGTCAAAAGGATTTTCTTTCCAGTACATGCAAAGAGGAAGGCAAAGGATTACAAAAATATATAATAGCATCGACAGTTACTTCTCTAAAAAACAGTATGACAGTAATGTCTCTTTAATTTCAGTCCTGATGGACCGTCTCCCTGTTTTGAGAAACTAGAGCAGAGTGAGTCCAGGCTGTTACGAGCATGTTTATGAGGAGGCAGCGGATGAGAGGAAATTGCATTTCTGGGGTTAATATAGTCTTGTGGTTTTTCTACAGTAGCCGCTCACGCGATTCCCTATCAGTCTCTACTCTGACATGGTCACTCCATCAATTCCAGCAGCTAATGCCACGTTTATCTCCCGCTAATCGCTGATTCAGCCCACTAATTACAAAGGAAAATCAAAAAGCCTTCGAGGCACTGAGCTATCATGAAAGGAATGCCATGAGAACTTTGATGAAATCAAGGGACCGTATTTATTTGTTCTGATGTTACTCTTATAAAATATAAAATACAGTTTATGTTGGCATTTTTCTCAGGTTTACGCTCATGGGTGTTAAGAGTTCAGTTTTATTGATTGCAGATTCTCTTCGTTTTTTCTTCTTTCTTGCACAGGAACCTGATGCCTCGTACTCTAGAGGGTCAGATCACGATGGAGAAGACCCCCAGCTACTTCATCACCAAAGAAGCCCCTCGTCGTGTCTTCTCCATGAGCCGCCACGCTAAGCTCATCGTGGTGGTGCGCGACCCCGTAACCCGGGCCGTCTCTGATTACACCCAGACTTTAACCAAATCTCCCGGGCTGCCATCCTTCGAGAACCTGGCTTTTAGAAACACCACCACGGGCCTCATCGACACCTCCTGGAGCGCTGTACGCATCGGCATCTACGCCAAACACCTTGAGAACTGGCTGCACTTTTTCCCGCTCTCGAGCTTCCTCTTTGTCAGCGGCGAGCGCCTCGTGACGGACCCGGCGGGCGAAATGGGCCGCGTCCAGGACTTCCTGGGACTGAAACGCGTGGTGACCGACAAGCACTTCTACTTCAACCAGACCAAAGGTTTCCCCTGCCTAAAGAAGCCCGAGGGGAGCAGCAGGCCGCGCTGCCTGGGGAAGTCGAAAGGCAGACCCCATCCCCAGATCCCCTCAGAAGTCCTCCTCAGGCTCAGAGACTTCTACAGACCCTTCAATCTCAAGTTTTACCAAATGACCGGCCAAGATTTTGGCTGGGACTGAGCGGCTCCTCACCAAAGCTCTTAAAAACTGATAGTAGTGTTCTTGTTCAGCCAACAACCAAAACCGGACCCGGGTTACCATGAAAACATCGTGTTTACCAAAGCTTTAACTGTGCAAAACATGCCTTTTCTTTTGTTTTCTTTTCTATGAAAACTCCTGCCTCTTCCTCTTGATTTACAGCAACACATTTTATGAGAGCTTTAATGCTTTAAGACTTTCTAAACAAAGAGTGGAAGAAGAGCTGGTTGTGCCTCGGACCACTGTAGTGTGACAAGCGCAGGCCACATTGAATCATACTGCTTATTTGCTTTGACTTGGATCTCCTCACACTCGGCACCCTAAGTGCCAGAAGTATGCTAAGCTCTCATTGCTGTCCAAAACACTAAAAAGCACAACCTCTATATTGAAGAAAATAACCCCAGAAAGATGCCAACAATGCAAGGAGATGGGCCTAAATTTAAAACGTGGCAGCAGAGTAATAGGCTATGACAGCCGGGCAAAGCTACAAGAAACCAAATTACATATCAAAGACACGCGAACTGTGAAACAAAAAATGACTACGAGAAAAGAAGGAATAGGTTTTAAATTATGCACTATGGCACAATAGAAATACATGGGAAGCAACATAAATTAATTATTCAGTTAGGGTTATAAATCCAGCAATGTTCAGTTTACCTTTGTGTAAATGTTCTGACAGGTTCTTAGTGTATACAGCTTTAGTTTTGTTTGTTTTTCTTACAATGCAAGATCCTTCTCTGGACTGTCTTTATTGTATCTCAATAAAAAATGTAGCAAAGGCAGGAAGATGGGACCCCTGCAACTGTTACAAACATAGAAGAAAGGCCCAGCAGAGTCCACTATGTGCTGTTAATGATCAGTTATTTAAGTTACCAATACAACATGTGTATAAAATGTTCCTTTCACACACATCTGTATCCGTGATTTCTTTCTACTTCGTTTGTATCACCACTCAACTCCACAGATGGTACTTATATGAAACTGTATAATTCTGAAAGCATAATTTATAAGATGATGAAATATTGTGAGTCTTTTGTATTTGAAATTCTGCTGGAACTACTAAAACTTTTATTCTAAAATGTGTGGATGTGCTCATTTCTGCATTGAACTAAGTTCATCCTATTTGTGAAATTAAACCAATGTTACTGTTGCTGGAATTTAAAAAAGATATATTATTTCTTAAATTTTTTTTTGCTTCTTGGACATCTAATGATTAGAAAAGGAAATGAAATTAATCAGTGTTGTGTAATTTTTGATGACATCTGACATTAACTGTAGCCTATTTGTTCCTTTAATCTTTAACGTTCATGTATTTTTAAAATCAGGGTGTTCTTCTCACTGACAGTACAAGTAAAAAACACTTTGAAAAGTGGCGTTTTAAAGGATTGTTATATGTGCTACTATTTGCTACTAGACACAGCTGATGCTAGCTCTATGCTAGTTGATGCTTACAGTAGACATAACAAAAAAAAATGTTTGTCTGGCTATGTCTTCATTTAACAAAATCCATACCAGTGCCTTAATGTTAGCATAATGACAAGTTTTCAAAATACTTCCATTTCTCACAGTAACTGTAATTGTTCTGCCTACAATAAGCAAATTCAATCATATGCACCTGTAACACATTCTAAATGTACTTCACATGTAGGAAAATTAAGGGATAGCTGGCGTTCACAATCAAATTTGACATGCTTCTGGGTAAGAGATCACTAAAAAATAATCTCATCAGCATGCTAAACATCAAGCTACAGCATTAGGCTAGCAGTAACCTGTTATTTTAGCTCAAACTGGAAACGGGGAAAAGCTAAATTGGCTCTGCAAATGTAACAAAATCAGCCTTTAAGCACCTCTAAAGCTTACTAGTTCTCATGTTAAATATGTTTTACAATAATTGTTTAATTTTGGGAGTGTGTGGAGCTAGCTTTTCATCAGTTTCCAGGTTATTCTGAGCTATAGAGGCTGCTGGCTATTGAACAGTTGGATTAAAGTGTGATGTCAATCTTCTCATCATACTATCAACAAGAAAACTGTATTAAAGTGCCTTTCCCTTAATGTTGAGCTGTTACCATAACTGAGTGGTCGGTCAGTCCCCAGTTGAAGCATGCAGAGAAATAATGAAGTTGGTAGTGAAAGTAGGGGTCATATGTCCGCAGGCATCCGGGGAGCTAAATTTGAAGTTAACACAGCGGCTTTCTGATGTGTAAGCAATCAATTCAGCGGGGTGATTGGAGACCTTTGAGGATGGCAATCTTTGACCTCCACGCTCCCCCTTGACCTGTGAGCCTGCTCGCCATAAACTGCTGACCACTACCACCACACTGGTTAATGGAGTTGCCCTGCATGAGCTATGAGCAAGACTGAATGCTCTCACACACACGCACACACACACACACACACACACACACACACACACACACACACACACACACACACACAGGCATATAACAACTCCCCCCTGATCCATTAATATTACATTCCCAACCTTTGGGACCTCCACTGAAGGGAGATGGTACAGATCAATAACTGCCTGTTTAGTTTATTGGCTGCCAGGATATGTGCTTATACATTCCATGTCCCTCTGTCAGCTTGATTTAACTCAGGGGTCGAGCATGGGTCGCTATCGTACATTTGTAAAATATTATTTAACACCTGATATGTCTTCCATACATTGTAATCGATGCAGGGCCTAAACACATACACAAGAATGAACAGGCCACACTCAGTTTTTCCATCACAGTGCGGTGGTGAGGTAAAAGGTAGTCACTGTTTGCTCTTCTTTGTCACCTGTGGGGGGATATATTTCAGAGAGAAGGAAAACAAGGGAAGAAGTGGGAGCTACTGTTACTGTGGATAAATACAAAAAGAGTGAATTTAAAGCTGCACTACTTCATCTTTTTTTTTTTTTTAATGGATTGAACATTTTCACATGATGTCATTGCTTTGATTGCCCGGCCCACTAATATACTGATTTGTTTCAGTGATTTACCACTCTCAGTGAGCTGTACACCACCACATTACATTCTGGTGGAAAGTCTTGTGTAAAAAGTTTGTGGCTCTACCATGGAAACAATGCCAATGAAGAGTCAATGGGTTTTTTTTTTGGGGGGGGGGGGTTGACCACACTGAATCCTATCAACAATCAGGTCCAGGTAACGAAAATGCAGTACCAAGGAAACTAAAGTCCAAGTCTAGTTTGACACTTGAAGTCATTGTTGATCTATTGCCTTTTAGACATGTAGAGTATGCATGTAACTTTAAAATGTAGCCTGCTAATTATTACCCAAACCATCATCTTTTTTTAAAAACCTGACCAAGTTGTTCCATTGCGTTAGTCCATCCAAGTAGTTCATATGTAATGTAAGGAACTTATATAACACTTTTTTCTTCTCCCACAATCACCTGACACTGGCGTCGCATCTACAGCGCTGGCACATAATACCAACCCATTAATCTCACACCATAACACTGTATCAGAAAGTTGCTGCAATTTCACTCGTGTATATGACACCAGGTTGATGCTACCAGTGCCCCACAAACAGCAGACAGGCATAGCTAGCTGCTACTGTAACATTAACTTAGCATTATGGAACATTTAGCATCTACAGTAGATAGACACTTTTGTCAAGATATTCATTTTATTGGAGACCAAAAACAGCTAAAAGGAAAATGAATAATTTCCCAACATTTAGAAATATGGACACAACTCCAAATGAATGCTAATGTTGCTATGTTCTGGATGTGCAAATACACAACTATTTGCTTACAGCTTTTTAATGCGTTCGACTCATTTTTAAAGGCTTTATTTTTTTCATCCAGCAGATGTCGCCCTTGAGCACCAGCATGAAACCAAAACAAATTGCGCTGCATTGTTGTGTTAGTATGCTAATGCTAGCGATCTTTATTATGCTCGTATCTTCACACTGCATGTAAATTTACCTGAAATGATCGTGATCTAGAAACACAGTTAAGCAGTGAGTACAGTATGTTATTCTTCGTTTCTCTAGTCCCTCAATTAAACAACTTTTATACATGAGGGGAGGAGTCGGCCGGCCGTCCGAGCGATGTAAACAAAGTGAAGATAGGACTCTGAAAACTCTGAAAGCATCACAGACAGTGGGACTCAGGTGTTACACCCATTGTAGACAGTCATGACTCACAGAGTTATTTTCAGAGGATATACTTGTTTTATATTACAGTTAAGTGTGAAAAATCACATATAAAGCCTTTAAAGCTTATCCTGAGAAAAACAAAACAATACCAAGATAGCTGCCTGCTGTTGAAAAAAAAGTTTTGGATTGTTAAACTTAGCAGCCACTTTCTTAGCCACTTACATTTTCAAATAAGCTTTAGATGCTCCTCGGTTATCTCAGGAAATTTTAACTAAAACTCGCAAGCATTTGACAGGTGGGTGGTGTTCATTTTCCACCCTGTGTACCCTCTAGTTATAGAATATCCTCAAGACACACAACCCCATCCATTCATGGGTGAGGAGTGCGTAAAGGGAACCAGCCAGCTATGTCGTCAAGTTTCCCGCTGGTGAAAAGTTTCCTTTATGTCTCCCTCTGCACCAAAGAGCCCTGACACTCGAGATAGCAGCAAATCTCTCATTCATCAGCTGGCTGAAGTTATTCAGGCCTGAAGGTATTGATATGCAAACAAGATGGTTCAGCCGCAGGTCTGCAGAACAGGCCTTTATCCAAAAAAAAGACCTGGCTCCATTCCTGATACATTTCTCTGTTACCCACACAATGACCCTCCTGTCAGTCGTCCATGTGAGTGTCTGGCTCCACTGAGGGTGCATAGGATCCAAACACATGGATTAGACGGAACCCCGGATATTGGAATGGATGAGCGAATGTCACCCCTTCAGATCTTTACACCCCAATGAAAGTGACCGGTGACCCCTACTGAAGGAGGTCAAGTGTCCTCACTCGGGCAAGAGAGGAATGGCTGCTTTAGGAAGTCTGCCAGCCTGCTTACAGGGCACAATCTGATTTAACCAAGCATGGATCAGCTGGATGAAACTGAGAAAAACATTTACAAGGAAGTCAAAAATTGACCAAAAACACATAATAAATGTATTTCTCTTGCAAATAATTTCTTAATTCATTTGATGGAATTTCACTTTCCTTTCCAAAATGCAGCGTTGTTTTTCAACTAATCTTTTGACAATCATGCTTTATGAAATTGCCTTTTCCCCATTCACAAAAGCTACTATTGTTAGGAAAAAATATTAGAATTTATAATAGTGTTTGAGGTTCAAGGTATTTCTGCAGGTCATTAAATCCATGTGGTTGATGTTTGGAATGCATCAGGGTGAAGATGGGGATTAAGTTAGTCCCACCAGAACAAATGGATCAGGTTTATTAAAGATCGTAGCAAAGCCGAACAGAACATTAAGTTACTATTGTAAAAATGTGAGATGAGTGTGAGTGCAATGTTTAACTGAGTAAACATCACATTTCTGGCAGACATCGAAATGTTTGCCGAACATTATCCAGCAACTCCTCTTGTTACCATGACATCACCAAGTTTTTAGGCTGTAACATCCTGGCACTGGTGTTGACAAAAACAATCACACAGAAAACAAAGTTGAAAACAAGCCTGTTCTGTTTCACAAGGCAAAACTGCTAACCATAAAAGATATGACACTATACTAAACAATACAATATGTTATGTTAACATTGCGTTACATTACGTTACAATACAATACAATATGCTACAAGGTACGTTAGAATAAGGTATGGTATGGTATGTATGGTCCGGTACAATATGATCTGATCTGTTACGATTCAATACTAAAGGATATGATATGCTTAGATAATATAGGATACACTTAATTTTCACCAATGGGACAAACTTTGGGACTTGAGCGTTTTGTACATTTAGCCAACATCACAGTAGTACCAATAGAGAAACAATATATCTGTGATAACTCCTGTTGTTACCATGACATCACAATTAATTGTTATCCAGGCTGTAACATTTTGGCACTGGTGCATTTTAAAAAACACTGAATATAGGAACTAAAAAAACAAGCCTGTTGTGTTTCATTAAGCAAAACTGCTGCCCATAAACA